ATGTGATGTGATGTGATGTGATGTGATGTGATGTGATGTGATGTGATGTGATGTGATGTGATGTGATGTGTACATGTGCTGAAGGTACCACAACATACATTAAAAGAAGGAGGAGGGATTAGTTGGTGAAGGAGCACCATAGTACTGGTGGTAGGAAAAAAGAGTGGCCATTATACATTTGAGACAATGTGACAAGAAGAGGGATAGGTAATGAACAGTCTGTCTTGTTGTTTGAACTGCTGTGATAGAATGTGGAGAAACTTACTATGATCATGGAACTCAAAAAATCACAACAAGGGTACAGATGTGACCAACACTCAACTCTGTTGACATAAGTGCAACCAAAATAACCAAAATGTATGGACATACTACTAAGGATGAAATTTTCTTACTCCCCACTTGTGTTGGGGGACTATCTTGTGGAATTCTTTCTTACCTCCTATATATCATTATGGGAGCAGCAAAATAAGGATCTCCATGGCTACACACTTTCTCAGAAGCAAGCAAAGCATCGAAAGCAGGTGGTGATGAAAGTTGGACTGTATTTGAACTGAAATCACAGACCTGTCTGTCCCACACTCACCTATTCCCAGAGGATATGGAAACCTTCTTATCACCTACACCTACCTCCATGCTCACATATTAACATCAAGTCTATGAGAAAACGATTCTGACAAGTGTCAAACAAGCCTCGAGTCCTTCAGTCTCCAACACTTGCCCTATCACCCAGTACTTTATGCCAATGCCTCATAGTAAACAACCACCGCAGAGTGTCACACAAGATTCACTGGTCTTTGATGCCTACTACTCCAAAAAGAAGTGACACAAACAACCTGCCGTGCCAGATACTTCTTTGGCTCCTCCTGTCAATTCTTCCAGTTTACTCCAAACCAAGAAGCTAAATCAATTCATCTAATTCCAGTGAAACAAACCCCTGGTCGCACTTTCACCCAAACTCCTTGGAAGGAAGTGCTGCCCCGCGGAGCAGCTACTAGAAGCATTCTTTCCACTGAAAGCTATATTTCTGGCCATAGTGCCTATTCTAGTAGCTCACAAGGTTAAATATAATATTAAGATTTTTTTTTGCTAAGGATGAAATTTAAAACAAGGGGGTTTGAAGTTTAAAAAAATGTCCCAAGAGGACTCTATTACTAGACTACTAGTAGCTACTAGGACTAAAGAAATTAGTATACAAAGTTTCTACAAATTCCAACCCCCCATACCCACTCCTTTTCTACAAGAAACAATTAAAGAAAAAAGAACTATTGTAGTTCTTTTGTTTTAAGTTTTGACTTCCAGCATACTAGTAGTAGTCAAAACAGCCAAAACATAGTAGTAGTAGTATGATATTGAACAAGAATACTTCTTTTGTAAAAGCATCTACTAGGAAAATAGTGTCAACAACATGATTGCTTCCATTCAGCAACAATTAACAACAAGAACCACTTTGGTGATCTATTCTCTTCTAAATGCTTTTCCATCTTGCTCTTTTTGCCAATACCACATATTCTTTGCAACACTTTTGCCAATATGGCCTAGTTTTCCTCTGCTACTAATGTACTCTGTTTCAGCTGTGTTTATGTTCCTACTACTACTATTACTATCTCTGCCACTACCACGCTGCTTTTTGCCTCAATTTTTTTCTATTATGTGTAATACTACTACTACTACCTTACTACTAACCTGCCTATTAAAACAGTGTTGACATCTGCATCAGGTGTTGTCAAAATATGGCCATACAGAAAATGCACATTTGTATCAAGGAAATTGATGTTGTAAAAAATGTTGGACCATTTCCCTAGAATGGAGATCTGAGTATGATTGAAACAAAGAATATACAATTACGAAATCAAACTTTTCCTAGTGCAATTCCTTTTGTTTGTTCATGCCATACTAATCAGCATACAAGACTGTGAACAATTTTTTTTGCTATTATTTTGGTGTGATTGAAGGGTTGTGCAATTGTACATTTCTCTTCTTTTTGTACACAATGGTCAGAACTTTTGCTTTTAATTTCTTCCAACTAATACAAAGAATTCTGAAAGAAAACAAAGCACAAAAGGTTGATCTGTTGTTGTTCAACATTGCTAATGACATATTTTTATCAACTGGTCTTATTTCATAGATGGAAAATTATCCCACCAAAGCTGAAATAAGGCATTTCTGTGATTCTGGGTCCTCTGTTCTTAGATTTTGAGGGAGAGACTGCCAACTGTTTCTTACCAATACTTGACTGTCAATTTTTCCTTGTTTGTTGGTGTCTCTTTGTTTTGCAAGAAGAAGATGTTGGGAAGCTGTACATTAAAATTTGTCCTTGACTGGTGCCACCACTTCCTCAAAGACTAATACTAGAGGGCTGTGCTACAGGTTGTCTATTGTCAGAAAACATTACTCCAACAAGAAAAAAATGACAGAAGTTTCAGAAACTAGCTAGATGATATCAAACAAGGTGCACAAGGAAATACTAGCCTGCTACTAGTAGTAGTACCACCATGCATTGAAAGCTATGTGAGATCAGCAAAGGTTTCCTACTAGTAGTAGGCAATGTCACACAAGAAATACACTTATCCTCAGGTAATTCTATGATTGGAATCCCTAGAAAACTTAGGAAGCCAATTGATCTGAAGAATGCCCCAAAGATATCATTGATAGTACTAGTAGTATAGTAGGGAAAAGATGAATATTCTTGATAGCCAAGACTACTACTACTACAACAAAAACTGAGCATCAGGAGGTCAAGTCRTTGATATAGTACTACTAGAATCAAACAAACAGCTGGTGGAACAAATATTCCTTCTTGTCAAATACAGCCATATGTCTTCATAGTACTTTCTTGCTGGTTTGATTGTGATGACTCAWCAGTCAGTGTGTCCTTAATCAGATGGGACTTTAGCTCTGGGTTGCCGCAAAAGAACCACTGGTGGGTTATCTCTGATGTTCTCCATATACACAACACCTTTGATAAGGGTGAAGACTTCAAGGGGAAGACTACTAATGGGCATTATCGGGTAGGTTTGYATGYACAAAAGACAARTGGTGAATCCATGCACTTCATGGTTGAAGACACAYACACAAACWGAGCACAATTCTAACSACAAATTGGTTCCAGCCAGAAGAATGTGTTGCCCTCCTTTGCCATAATAAACGCATCAGTGAATGAGTCCCTTACTTCGAAGCCTTACRATAAGACACTGAGATTGTTATTTGTTTGATACCAGAAAGACGACCGAGATTGTATTTTCAATTTGTGTTTAGTTCTTAAAATGAAGATGGTTACCGGAACCGATTCCGATGGACAAGGGGATACCGCAAGTGTTGGTATCTTCAGGATCTACAAGAAAAAAGCCCACCAGTGTAAAAGGCTGCCTCGAACGATCAGCKTWTATGGTCGATGRTCATTAATTCGACGCCGCTGCTTTTGCTCTAATTTTTCCGGCAGTGAGTGGCTTTGAGAAGAAGTCGTCCGTTACACCAGAGTCCGAATGGATGTCGAATTTTGTTCCTAGTGCCTCTCTTCTCTTCTTTTCTTCGATGACCTGAAGTCTGCGCTTCTTTTCCTTGAACCCGTGAATGCATTCAAAGTAATCTTCGTTTTCGCCCCAGCACATTGCTTGSGGGCTATCTGCGGTTTTCCTGGACTGCAGCCCAAATGAAAAAGCAGAGGAAGGTGCGGCGGATGAGACGTCCGATGACAGTTCGAAACAGAAACGAGATTKATCTCCGTTCCAAAAATTTAAAATTGGAATTCTCTAATTGAACTACACAGAATCCTGTTTGTGCAATGCAAAGAGAGCACATCACACAACCAAGCAGCTTGKACTTACGACACACTTCTTCAAGTCAGCAAAAAAGGGATAGCACCGACCAAGGGTTCCAGTCACTCCGACACCACTCGACATGTTTTCGCCTTCAAAATTATTTGTGTATCAATTTCTTTAGAAATGCGAGCCGTCTAATCCAGACTCCGTGATAGCCGCGTAGTAGTAACACAAAACCAACTCGGACACCTTGATGTTGTCGGTGGGTTGTCGTTTTGTTGTTGTTGTTGTTGTTGTTGTTGATGATGATGATGATTGGGGCAACAGCGATTGTTAATTAATGCACCGGGCTGCTTCGTACGTACCGTACTGTTTGCAAAGTACATATGAGCAGTACGAGTACGTGCGACGTCGGCACGCTAAGAAAAAATTGGTCTGCTTACCGTACGAAAACAGAATACAGTCAATGTAGGTACTGTACTACAGTGGGAACAATAGTACT